GCCGCCCTCGCGGGCCCGGCGCACAGAAGCCACGGAGCGCTGCTTGCCTTCGTCATCTGGTCTGCGTCCGGCCTCACAGTCGGGGTGACGTTCAGCAGCATCTTGGTGTGTTCCCGCACCTCCTCCGGGATCCGGGCCAGGACACTGGGGTTCAGGCGGCTCAGCTGGGATTTCAGGATACAGGGGACACGACACGCATCGTAAAGACAGGAGAACGCTCCGGCCCGCCCCGTTATCATCCAGCTGCGCCCACTACTGACACAAGAACCGCCTGTGGCCCGCTGGGACGGGAGGGTCCCGCAGGGTCATTCTTAGCTGAAACCATGCAGAAAAGTGGATTTCGACTGCCACCGCCCGAGACTGAGCAGAAATAATTTGCCTTGTTAGAGAGAGCTATGATGAGCATCCCTGTAACACTGTTCTGTAAGAATACAGTTTGGTCTGTGAAAAATAAAGCAAATTGATAGCACCCAAAATGGACACTTCATTCAGGTTTGATTCTCAAAACATTCTGTGAAAACAGTCTCCAACATCCAGTCCGTACCAATCTCTTTCCTGGGAATGATTAGGACACGCGGAAACGAAATAAATGGTCAGACTTCACCCATGGGCCCCACGCTTTAGTTTTTTTTTGTCATGTCACGGAATATTGTGAGAACACCGATTACTGACCACCAGGTCCTGCTGTTCCTGGCCGAGATGAAGTGAAAGACAGACATCCACAAAGCTGTCCTTGTGTGAATGAAAAAAACACTTCATTTTTTGAGTTGCTCCACACACTGAATTGCTTTTTCACTAAACTCATCATTTGTAGCTGAATGGTTATTCTATGTATAGATCAGATCACACGTATCCTTTTATATCCCCATGTTTTATAATTTTATATATCTAACAAAACAGTAAACGCACATCTAGAATCATTTGACAACCTGGTAATATCAGAATATTCAACACTGGTGCAAAAAACGGGAACACAATGAGTTATTTTTCTACCAAAAGAAGCCTTCCTTCTACGTACGAGAACTTCTTCGTTTCTTATTACAGAAGAACAAAAAATGTCAAGCTCAAAAGGGATTATGCACCGATGACTATCGGCAGATAAAATAAGTGGCCTTTTATTTATTCACTGTTATGAATGCCATTTTTTATTTACTGCCTTTACATGTTCCCTGATGTTTTTCTTGTCCCTGTAGATGTCGGAAGTTACAAATTACAGTAAACAAAACTATCTACCGCACACCTACAATATCGTGAATGACCTGCTGCACTGTCAACCAACCACTTGGTGCAAATGTACGCTAAGTTATCGGCGATGAAGAGGGATTTTGTTTTCAGAAACTGCAATAACAAATGGAAAACACATCTGGCCATTTCAAGTGCAACCAACCTTGCAATCTATTAAAGTAAATGCCACTGAACTCGACAAATCCCCTGAACATGGATGGAAGGAAGACTATTATGTTTTGGTGGTGGGATCTACTCTCATTCCGTCTTTAATAGGAACATACGAATGAGAGGGGGCATTCTGGCCCATCTAGTCCACTATCTGATCCCTGGATCCCGGGCAGCCGTTTCCTGGAGAACCCAGAGTATCAGCTTCAGCAACATGCCGAGCAGCTGGAATGAAGCACTGGACACACCTGAAACTACTTCCTCCACAATCAGCACGCAGGGATAAGGAGCAGACGCCGGCCTCGCCCTTTCACCTCTCCGTGCTCTCGAGAACAAACAGGCCGTGCTCATCTCTCTCAGAGGCTCAGAGGCAAAGCTAGGAACCGGCAGCAGGAAGCACGCTTCCGTCTTTATCACCTGATCCAGCTGGCGGCTGAAGCTTTTGAAGATGTCGTGCTTGTTCACTTCGAAGATGGGCTTTCCTTCATCGAAGACGGCGTGGATGACAACCCCCAGGGAGTACATGTCGCTGGCCGAGTCGCAGCTCACCGACAGGATGTACTCGGGCGCCAGGTACTCAGGGTTGGGCAGGCAGAGAGAGGGGAGGTTGGGGTCCCACTCCTTGCAGGAGTACTTGGCCTTTCGGAAGCAGGAAAGACGAAGACCATGAGAATGCAGACGAGCTGGATCCTCTACGACAAACACCTCCCAGGTTCAGCGGGCTTTCGAATTGGGCTGCAGGGTTTCTCTGGAACCGGCAGTTCTGTTTGGTGGGGTCCGATGGTTCTCAATGAAAACTGCCAACGCGTCTGCCATTACACCAGGCAGCGGAGAGCAAGCAGGAAATAAAACCGAGAACACCAAAAACAGCAACCACGTCATTTTGCGGCTCAACTGCATGCTATAAGCATTTTGTCTAGATGATCGAGCCCCAGTGGGGCTTACCATGAAGATACTGTAAAATACTGTATTTACAGAATAAACTTAAATGTTCTGAAATGTCTGTGCTACTGCCTCAGCTGTGCACGCAGTCACTTTCAAAGGAATGTGAAAACTAACTAGAACAATGTGAGTAAAGGCATTTTTTTTTGCAGTTGATTGAACGCCAATTCAACAGCCCAGCACGACACACCTAGCAATCAAGGAGAGTGCCTTGTCATAAAGCGAGAAAGGAACAGTGGAAATATTCACCCCCACCTCTTGCTCCGAGGGGTTGGATGAGGAGATGCTGAAGTCGAAACCCATAATTTTCCAGGCTCCGCTCTTGTTTAGAATGATATTCTCGGGGGTCAGGTTTCCATGAACCATTTTCACCCCACTGTGCAAAAACGACAATCCTTCAGAGATCTGGGGAAAAAAAAAGAATAAAACCAAACAGCCACATCAGACCAGCTGCAGCCTCTTCCGAGAGGATTCGGTTAGCGAGACTCCACCGAACTGTGTAAAAGCACTCTCTGGCAGGATTCGTGTTTTAGCAGGTTTAAGAACACGTTCACCGTTCTGTTCTTGGGAGTTTATCTCATATGACAGACAGCAGCATCGTCGGGTGTCTGAGCTAAGCAAGGCTGTCCAGACATGGGAGGCCTCTGAGGAATAACCAGGCTGCAGCTGTAAGACGCCCTGGGGGACCAGTAGGTGGCGCTCCACCCTGCGGACCAGAAGGTCCAGACTGATGCCCCACTATGGTCAGCAGGCACACAGTGCTGCAGGAGGTGCTGTCCTTCAGGTGAGATGTTTAATGGAGGTCCTCGCCCTTTGGACGATAAGGATTAATTTCCAGGATTTATACTGTAAACTGCAGCCACTGATCATAAGTAGGGCTGTTTACCCCGGTGACCTGACTGAAGCCCCTCTGCCTGATCTGCTGGCCCAGGGGCCGCTGGTGCAGACCGGCTGCCTTGTGTTACTCAGGCGGCACTTCAGTGGGGGACAGAGAGGATCTCCTCCTCTATCTACAGCACTTCCGAATCTTTTGAGATGAGCTACTAATAAGTGCAACGTATTCTTCTGATAGTAATGAAATGGGTGCTCTTATATAAAACGCTTCTTTAATGATGCATAAGGCATTTACAGCATATGCTAACTCTGCTTACCAATGCATTTTCACAACAACACAGAAACATGTAATATGCCAGTTCCTTTGCAAGATGGTGTTTCTTTCTGCAGTGAGTCATACAGCTCGGTTTCTTTTTTAGTGATAAGGAAAGCGATTTCTTTAATATGTCACAGGCTTCAATTAAGACCTTCCTGGACACCTGGGTTTTGACACCCACCCAGACTTATTCAGGGCACAGAACGATGTCCTCTCATGGCGAAACAACCTGAGGTGTTGTAGGAGGCTCTGCTAACGCAGCGTTATTCATCTCTTGGAGAATCATGAGCATCTTTGAATTTCTGATTAAAAACAGGCAGATTGTTTTACGGAATCCAAGTCACTTACTGACACTGCAGCCTGGGCGATTTGCACAGCGCAGGCTGTTACTCATTAATCACCAAGCACACATTGTGAAACATTCTGTTCAGATGAAGATTCTCTGGACAGCAGTCTGAACCATATACTGGTTGAACAAGCTGCAGACTCTTCCACAACGTGTACAATCTACCTGCTCACCACAGTGCCTTTACTTGAATTTGAAAGTAGGTCATGCAGGAATAATTTATCCTGTTAATGGATATTCACTGACTCAAGCTAAAAGCATGAACATACCCAGAGAAAACCAATGCAAACTCCACACAGCTGGTGCTCTAGCCCAGGACCCAAGAGCTGTGAGGCTGCTAGTGCTCACTCGGTTTGCATCAATTCAACTCAAAAGCACTATCTTTTCTTTTTTTAACTGCTTCATCCAATACGGGGTCATGGGAGAGCCTGAGCCTATCCCAGCAAGAAACGGGCGCAAGACAGGGTGCACCCTTGAGGGGATCCCAGGCCACCACAGGGGAGACACTGATGCACACACTCACACCAGCGCTAGTTTCCCAGATCACAAGCCAATCAATCTACCAGTACAGTATGGTCTGGACTGCGGGAGGAAACTGAAGTATACAGAGTAAACCCAGGGAGAGCACAAACTCCACACAGAGAGCACGCCAGGTGCAGAATTGAACCCAGGGCCCCAGTGCTGTGAAGCAGCACTGCTAAACACTGCACCGCTGTACAGCCCACAAAAGCACTAAATAAGGTAAAATGCCTGAAATACATAGTACATGGTGCTGGCTTTAACAAAAGTCTGCAGTTTATAAATCCTGGAAATGCATCATACCGCTACCCATTGAAACTCTTAACTGGATTCTGTGCTCTACAGCAAATCTTAAAATAGGCTCAGGAGAATAGCATCACAACCAAAGGCAAACAAATTAGCTCTTTTTGTTTAATGCAACAAGCTTGATCTTTCTCGGGTACTCCTTAAAGAAGACTCGAGCTGCTGCTAATCAAGGCCACTGTTAAACCAAGCCTAGAGTTTGTGATGAAGCGAGTGCCACAGAATCAAGACCATGAACCGGATACAGATCGCATTTCTAACGCACAAAGAGTTTCAATTTCATTAGATTAAAAAAAGAATGGTAACTCTACCAACAGTAATTCATTAGTTTGTCATGTCTGAACAACCTCTGTTCAGAAACAGCATGTCACACGCAAGGACGAAAGGCCCTGCTGGCCTAATTTCACGTCGGTGATGCGGATAAGGAAGATGGCCTTCGCTCGTGCGACACAAGAAGCTGCTGTCCAGCTGGCGGGTGCGAGATCAAGGCACTCACCTGTAAGAGGCCATATTTGGTTTCAACGTCGTAAAGCTTATACTCCTTGATGTCTGCAGGCACCGGGGTGGGCAGGTTGTCCCACTGTCCAAGCACGTTAGACAAGCTTGCAAAAACCGGTTCTGTGCAAAAAGCTAAACAATCTCTGTATATAAAAAAAAAAAGAAAAAGCACCAAGTTATTTCCTTTTATGAATTAACCATGCAGGATTTGACTGGGTCATTTGGTCACGTTAAACAGTGTATCAGCCTACTGGAGATAATCTCAGTGCATGAACACAAATGATGACAGCTTCTTTTTATAAGACAGGAGTCTGGACTGCAATCCATACCCCACCGGATTGTTTTCACAACCTTTCATTTCTGTTGCTGTCCACTGCTGCCATTCAAGTCAAAGAGACTGAAATATTACTGAAATACACCAGAGGACAGATACAACATGCATTTCCCATCTGCGACAGCTAAGCCATTCATGCAAAACGTCTGAAAAAAAAATTAGAAAAACCAAAACTCAGAGCAGGACAAGACGGTTGGAAACGCGTTCAAACTACATTATACTGCTTAAACCAGTTAGGAAAATGACTTGGGCGTTGACACATCCTTCACATCATCAAGACAATGTGTGGAACCGATTAAAAAAATTAAACTAATAAGCTCTCCTGAAGATAATGAGTACAGTTTTGGTCACCCACTCCATATTGCTGCTCTGGAACCAGCCCAGAGAAGAAGAACCAGATAGACTGCAGGTCTGGGAAATGTCGCACAGTGACAAGCAGAAGGATCTAAGCCTTTTTAGTTCTAAACACAAAAGATTACGAGGGAATCCTGATCCAAGTATTTATAATCCTCAAAGGCGCTGACAAACTCAACCCAGCAGATTTCTTCAGAAAGAACACTGAAGCACAAACCAGAGGGAACAAGTGGAAACTGACAGCATGGGGGCACTTCTTTACACAAAGGGTGGTGGGAGAGTGGAACAATCTGCCCGGCCATGATGCTGAAGCTGATACTCTGGCTTCTTTCAAGAAACAGCTGGATGGGATTCTTATCCACTAACCATCCAACGGGCCAGGTGGGCTGAACGATCTCCTCTCGTTTGTAATCTTTCTCCTGGTGTTTTCAGAAACATTAGGCTAGTTGGTTTAAAAAGCCATCTGCAGGCTTTGTTTTGTAACAGAACCTTTGTTTTGTTTCAGAACCTCGCTTGAAGGTGTAGCAGGCTATAGGGTGAGTGGGAATAACTGATGCATCCTCTCACTCATCAGGAACTCCTCGCAGACTTATCCTTTCATGTCTGGTTCTGTGAGATATCTGAAAGGCCTTTCTTTCCTTTTAGGAATAGCAAATTCTGTTTTATGTACAGAACAAAAATGCTATTTATATGCAATGCTGCAGGATACACCCCAAGAGGAGAAGCTCTAGAAGATGAACCCGTCTTGTCAAGGCTCAACACTCGGGAATCTGAAAACGGGGGTCGAAAATCCAAGCGCAGCAGGACAACAACCTGAACCCACGACCTGATCGAAGCCACATGAAAGCAAGGGAATGTCCCAGTTGGAAGTCCCGTCGGATAAGCAATTAGGACATTCACGGACAGGCTTGACAAACTGCAGCAGAGCTAATTCCGAAAACTTGGATTCCTATCAGGTTTCCTGTTGACTTCAAAATCCTCTCGCCCGTGTCCCCCTAGCGCGCTTGCACACCATGGGAGACGGGGCTTCTCCTGCTGCGCCCCAGAGCACAGGGACTTCGGAGACTCGCCTGCCCTGGGCCTTTTCAAATCCAGACTCAAAACCTTCTTCTTCAGAAGGGCTTTAAACTCATCGGTGCCTGCGTCTGCCCTTGGCACCTCCCACTGCCGTTTTAGAACGTCCAATAATGATGTGAATACCAAGAGCAGACATTGGTTACAATGGTGGGGCGGCCAAGGACGGCCTGAGGGGGAGAATGCAATCAGCACACCTGTGAACTTGACTTCCTATAAACTCTTTGCAGCTTTTGCTGACATTCAACCTCCTTGACAGGTCACAGGAGTGGGAATGAAGAGCGGAGCGGGGCGCCATGTTCTATCGAAAGCCAGTTGAATCACCCTGCTGGGCACGTCACTAAAGCAGCCTGGGTGAAGAGGCTTCTCTAGGGCCGGGGCCCGAACCCGCAACCGACCCAGTCCCAGCCCAGCGCCCCAGCCGCTCGCCTCGGCGTGCAGAGAGCACAGCTGGCTGGCAGGAAATCCGACAAGGAAGAGCTTAACGGAATGGCGACGGGCGTGCGGAAGGCTTGTGGAGGTGTCACACGATTTGCCCGCGGGGTCAGTCAAGCTCCGGGGGAAACGGCGGTCCTTACCGCGACTCCTCCAGGGGGTGCTGGACGGTGAGGAGGCGGGGGTGCCGCAGTCGGGTCAGCTGCTGGACTCCTCTCTTCAGCGAGTCTATAATCTGGTCTTTCTCAAACTTCTGATACTTGTCTATTATCTTCTTGTCGAAGACAAAGACCGCCACCTCCTGCAACGCCAGAGCAACAAAACCGCCATTTACAGTACCTCTCTGCCAGAACAGGGCCTGAGCACGGAGGGGGCTCAGGAGAGTCACGGGACTTACTGCACACACCAGTCCTGCTCATCTGACTTTAACAAGCCAGTTACTCATGGACATAGACACACTAACACTAGAGAACAAACAGTTAAAGGGCCAGAAAATCAGAAAATGCAGGCAGTTCCAAGAAGGTTTTACAGACCAAACTGATCAGCAGTCAGACCCCACAGGCTGGACTGCAGCTCTTCCCTTCTAGAGACAGTGCACTAGATGTGTTTTTCCCATTCACTCACACAGTTCAGAAACAGGTGTTTGGAGCACAGAAAGATGGGAACTGGTGCTCCTGGCAAACCCAGCACCTTCTTTTCTAAATACATCCTGCATATCTGACAAAAAGCCCTGGTTCACATTATGAAAGGACAGGACTGAAAAGAGGAAACTGCTACATTGTGTTTTTTTAAAGGGACAGGCATCCAAAGAAATTTCAATTCTCAGAACAGAACAAAAAGCAATAAGGCTTTTTCATTTCAAAGCTGTAAAAAAAAAATGCCGGTAAGAGTTTGTTGGAAAATCCCACAAAAACCCTTTACAACTTTGTCGAGACAATCCCCCACTCCCCGTGGAAATTTACATTCCTGATTGTCAGATGATTAACGGGCTCCAAAAAAACTCACTAGGGGCTCTTAGCCTTGTGTGACGGTGCTCATTTCTCTCAGAAAGTTAAACAGCCCCAGTCCGAGGCAGGAAGTCTGAGTACTGTTAACTACAGCTGAACATGTTAAAAACAGCACTGAAACCGCAGAGAAAACATCATGCATTCACAGAGAGAGAATTCACAGAGTCCAGAGGGGCAAACCGGAACACCAGAAGAACGCTTTGTGAAGCAGCAGTCGGAGGAACACAGTGCTCCTCTGTACAGGGCAGAAAATCAGTGGGTTAGGGAAATCTAAGCTTGAGTAACTTAAAACCAACATTACCATCCCAAGTCGATAAGCATCAGATGCAGTAAAATTGCGCCAGTACATGCATAAGGGAACGTGAAGTATGATAAAGCGGACACGGTATCATGTAGGCACTGTGTCAGGGATATGCTGAACCTATCTTACTGTACTCATTACAGTTTACGGCAAACGGCTTTTTAAAACTGAATGGCTGCCATCCAGCAGTGCTACTAAGGATCCTTATTTACACCCTGCTCGCGTTCGAAGTGCCCCTCTGAAGCGATGCAGTGGCCAGGCGAGAAGCTGGGTCACATCTCGCCCTTCGCTGTCCAGGTGGAGAGGAGAGCAGAAACAGCAGTATCTGTGTGGCGTTCAGTAACCATACGAAAGGCCTGTTCGCAGGAAGGTGTGGAGACACCACCGCGTGGAAATGGCAAAGCAGTCCAAAGTGGAACCGAGACGTGTGCTTTTAAAGGCATTCAGCCCGGTTGCATTTAAAAGAAGGGCACACTGCTGCTCACTACATAGCTTCCCTGCCTCCTGCCCACATGCAATCATCCGCTGACCTGCTTGGTTGACTTCTTGGTGCCATTGTAGACCCTCCACGACAGTCCCGGTCCGCCGCTGGCAATGTGCCGGCCGACCTCAAACTCCCTGGTCACAGGGTTCCCCATCACCGCGCTGGTGACATCGGCGGTCACCTTGGTGACGGTGCTCTTCAGCTTGTTGAGCATGGACTCCATGGCTGCACCTGAGGAGACATCACCCAGCCCTCAGTCTGGAACACACAGGGGACCTGAAACAACTGACCCCCTTCACAGCTGTGGAACCGCGAGGAGACCCCATACGAGTATTCAGAAGCCTCAAACAGTTCTCAAAGTCAACCCAATGGACCGTTTCAGAATCCAAAGTGAAGGACAAACCAGAGGTGCGCTTAAAACCGAGAACAGGAGGGAGCTCTTCACACAAAAGGATGTGGGAGTGGAACAAGCTATTCAGCTTTATTGTTGCAGCTATAAACTTTGGCTTCCTTTAAGAATCATCTGGATGAGGTCCTCGGACCACTAGGCGACGAAAAACTAATCGGGCTGCTTGGGCTGCAGACCCTCCCTGCATCTGTAAACACGCTGTAGCTATTAGCCTTTTGAAACTTGTCAGGTGTGAGAAACAGGAGGTCACAGGCTGCTGTGAAGCCTCTCGATGTGGTTCAGGAGGACAAAGAAGTGACCCAGTGCAGAGAGGGCACTGATCTGCACTTCATTAAAAATGACAGAAGAATACCGGTGGTACCCACAAACCTAAAGAACAATTTTTTTTTGTGGCTGCCCTTTTACTGTTGCAAGAGCTTCCACTGTGCAGTACACAGCACCAAAGGAAAGTGTACCTCTGGGCTTGAAAGGTGCCTTAGCTGGTGTTTTTGATGATAAAAAGTGGAATCACTCAAACTGTGCTGGGCCATCCGCTGAGCACGTGTATGAGGTGAAGCTGCTCTGTGTGATCCGCAAGCCAACACACCGCCTTCAAGCTCCAACAGGAGGAGAAGACTTCATTGAATAACAGGGAAACCAGGCCTCAAGAAAATCAGGGAAAGAACAGTGTCAACTCCCCTCTTTTCCCCACTACAAGTCCAGCTGTGGCTGTACCCCTAAACAGGGCTCTACATCTGAAACACAGTGTTCCCACCGCCGCCGGGCTCCATGTGTAGTTTAAGCATGCAGCACACAATACAGGTCCTGCCTTTTCTTTAATGACATTAATACGGCCGTTCGCTTACTTTGAAGTCCTGTGCATGCTTTTAAATGCTGATAAATTAAAAGCGCAGCAGGTACACCGGATGAGAATTCTTACTGCAGGCCATCCAAATTGTTTAACGTGACCTGAAAAATAAATCGTGCTTTTACCCTTTTAATCTTGTATTTAAAGAGCTTTTTATTTTTATTTTTTGCAGACGAGGCAGGCGGTGGCGAATGATTCAGCAGTGCTCCGGAAGACGAGGGGCTGCAGACAAGCCCCCCACTCGGCCCTGTGAACCGGCGGCACGACAGCGTGCGTTAAACCCCTGGGGTCCCCCCCTCACCCCGACAGGAGGACTGGCAACCACGAAAACACAAGCGCCTGCTTCAAACAAAACACTCCACGGTTTCCACTGCACTTTTCATTCGCCAGCGCAGACAGAAACGGTTCCCAAACGGCAGCTGTTCTCTCTGTACACCCTAGAGCCTGCTGCTGCCTCTTCAAGGGGCGACACTCGGGCCTCCTCTCGCTTGCAAGCCTTCTCTGTGAGGAGGGGACCCGCTTCACCCCACTCGAACGCAGGGTGGGGCAGCTTGAGGGGCATCAAGACCCTCAAGCCCTCAGCGGAATTTAGTTGAGGCATTTAGTCTTCGGTTTAACAGAGAACCCAAAGGAGCGCACCTTCAACAGCAAAGTGTACCCGGTCCCCATACTGGAGCATACATCTGGAAACCCCAGCCCAGATGGAAGAGCTACCGGTCCACCGAGACCATGTGCAGCAGCAACTTGTTTTCTCATAGACGCCCCCCTTCCCAGACCTGTCCAGGCCCAACCCTGCTCAGCTCCTGAGATCTGGACAGATCGGCCCACGGGGTGGCAACTCCACTGAAAAATGATCCTTAGATCCACTCCTTGAAACCTTATGTCACGACGGTTATTTCTGACAAGATCATAAAAAAAACATGCTTTCGCACAACAGTCCCAAAAGGGGCAGGTCTGGGTGAAGTGCTTTGACACCTTTTGAGTTATCATACTAATGCTCAGTCGAGCAGCCTGAAGTCTCTTAGCGCAATCAGGCCCTTTCAAGACAGCCGTGCTCCAGCCATCCAGCTCACAACCTCTCTAGAAACGGGAACAGCAAACGGCACGACAGAGAAAAACTCAAAGCAGGAAACTTCGAAACTTAGCCTATACAATGCTCACATCTTCACGAAGCTTAAATAAGACCCGTGTCTCCGGATCTTGATTAAATCCAGCCGCCGTTGGCGAACACTTTAAATTTACAATTTTCTACTAAAACATCGTAAAGAACTACATTTCGTTCGGGGGCCCCCAGACATTCAGAAGTTGTAACCGAGGGCTCTGCGGTTGCTCTCTGCTCAGCTGGAAGCACCTGGCGTGTCACCCCAGCCTGCGGACCGGAGAACCGGGCTCCTGTCTCCGCTTCCCGGTCGCCACAGCGCCGGATGTCCGAGCTCACTCCTGCACCGGAACCGCTGCGGGCTCATTCGGCGGCTCTCCGTCCCGTCCGGGAAGGAGGAGTCCAGACTCCAGAAGCCAGCCCGTCCCTGCTGGCTCCTGTGCTCGGCAGCTCAGCTTGCGACACCAGTCGGAGGTCGAGGCGAGACGGGCCGTTTTGCTGAAACGGGGTGAGGAAAGCGGGGTCCCCACCGCCGCGCACGACGGTCCGAACCGATCCGCTCCCGAACCCGGCGGAGAAGACCCGAACCCGGTTCACGCAGTCGGGGCTACACAACAGCAGGGAGGCGGGGGGGGGGGTGGAGAGAGACAGACAGAAAGGCTGGGGCGTCTTTGCTCACGCCTGCATCAGACACCGCGACCCGTCGCCGTCTGCGGAGCTGGGGGGTGTTGAAAATGTTTCCCCCAGCCGTCTCCGGGTGGCAAGCCCCCGCCCGGCCCTGTCACCCACCTCGGCGGCTTCTCGGCCATCCCAGATCCCCCGCACGGTACAGAAGCCATCTAAAGCTGAGGGCTCGGGCAGTTTATTCAGCGCTTCCTGAATCCGGAACACCTCCAGGCCCCTCACCTTCGTCGGTGCTCCCGCCTGCCTGTGCACACCGCGCCGGCGGCCAGCGAAACGCTTTTCTGAGAGGGACTCGCGTTCCTACCTTCGCGTTAGGCCAGACCGTCAACGGCTTTTCACGGCTGCTGCACTCCAGTGAGTAATCGACGCAGAAAGCTGTCAGCCCCGGCAGCAGCCACAACCCTCCATGTCTCCCACCACCGTAGTGTACTAACACATACAGAGCCCTACCTGCTTTGTGGACGTCACTTCCGGCAGCAGCCCCCTATCTCCGCCCACGGAGCACCACGTGATCAGCGGGGCGCCGCGAGGAGGCCCAGTCACAATGACTTTAAAAAAACGCACCGGTGCCTGACTCGCTGACGTCACCGCATCCGATCACGGGTTGCAGGAGCACCGACGTGGTTCACTGCAGCCAGTGTTTACAGAGAAGGGTACTTTGGCCCAGGTTGAGAGTGTGACTCGTGACCTCCCTACTGATCCGCCCAGGCAGGGCTTCTTCGTGAATGCAGGGATGTGTGTTAACCAGAGTGATCCAATTGCGTGTCCGCAGGGAGTGTATTAAGTGAAGGCGGCAACGGGATAAAACAAGTCAATGCATTGAAGTCACGTCGTGTACAGCAGTGTCGACTCAT